CATTACCATAATTTCTTTGAGCCTCAAGACAATGCCGGGCTTGGAAAAGGGGTGTTTTTATGCACCAGAAAAAATTGCATCAGGTTTTGAACTCTAAAAAATAAATTAATCCAAAGATTATTCACCTATGCAATATTTTATTAATAATTATAATTTGTCGTGTAATAAATTACTCGATATTAATTTTCTTTGCGATGATAAGTAGAACAGTGCTTTGATTGAATTAATTATTTAGTGCGTTTAAACGGATTTTAATAAGTAATTAAGATCACGTTGAACCAATTAAACAGAACTAATCTCGCTTTCAAACGCATCATAAATGTCAATTATGGGCCCGTTAAAAAGCTCATAACTTATAGCTTCTTAATAAGTTGGCGCCCTGTCATCGTCTTAGTAGACTAGTTTACATCGGACACAGATGTTCTCCTTAAAATTGCTTTATACATTTAAAAGCTTTTTTATTAGCATTTATTGCATTTTTCAAGGTTATTAATTTTCAATAAAAAGCTAAAACTACGTTGAAAGATCTTTATTGTATTTGGTCCCTACACGATTTTTTTCGGATTCAATCCCAAAAAGTTCTCAACTTTTGAGGATCGTTTATAGCATTTTAATTGGAAAAAAAAAATAATAACAATTAAATTTCGACTCAGCTTTGTAAAACCCTTCCTGGAAAACCCAAAAGTGCAAAATTTTAACAAATTGGGTGGTTGCTTCCTCCGGCATCTTTGTTTTAAAGGGTGATTTTGTTTTGGTCAAATAAATCGCTATCTTTTAATTCTCGTGAAAACTGTCAAGAGAAAATTTGTAGAGAATAAAATTACTTATAATTATAAGTAATTTTATTGTCTACAAATTCATATACATAAATTATAATTTATGTACATATATGAACTTTTTCGAAAAAAAAATATTTGGGATTAAAAAGCAGGTTTGCTACATTTTTCTGTTCCTTTCAAAACTAAGTGAATTATTAAAAAACGGGAGAAAATAATCAATGACTCTAAAGAAGTATCCAATACATTTAATGATCACTATATAAAAGTTGGCGATGTATTAGCCTCCAAAATAAAAATAAAAGATAACTACAGTTCGACTATGAGACCAACCCAACGTAACTCCATATTCTTGGAACAAACTAATCCACTGGAGTTATTTACAGCCTAAAAAATAACAAATCAGCGGGAGTAGATGGTTATAAATTATAACTTATAATATAATCTTCCCGCTTACACACCTAATAAATAACATTTTAGAAAATTTTAACTATCATTATGCCTTCAAAACATCCATTATTGTACCAATATTTAAGGGAGGGAATATCGAGGAGGTTAAAAACTATAGACCCATCTCTCTGGTAACATTTTTTTCCAAAGTAGTTGAAAAGGTAATTAAAATTAGATTGGACTTAGCCAAAGCATTTGATACAGTTAGCCATCCTATTCTATTAAAATTTTTATATAATCTAGGTATAAGAGGCATTCTATACAAACTTTTTGAAAGTTACATTGGCAATAGAACATAATGTGTAAAAATTAAAGATTCGTATAGCGATTTTAAAAGAATTGGATGGGGTGTGCCTCAAGACTTTGTTAGGTCCGGTCCTATTTACTTTATATATGGATGGTCTCTTTTTTTCGTTCCTACTCTACTGTATTATTTTATAAATCAAACAGTTGGGAAAACTTAAAAAGCAGCGTTAAAAATGATGTTATTAACATAAAGGAATGGTTTAATATAATGCTTCTATCCATACATTTTGTCATAATCAATCATAATCATCATAATAATTATAATCGTCCAAAATTTCATAAGATTAAAATTAAAGATTCAAACATAACTATTAATGAAGAAAACAAAACAAAATATTTGGGTATTATTATTGATAATCATTTAATGGGATGCACACATTGACTATTTAATAAAAAAAATAAGAACTGTTATTTATAAGTTTAAGTATCTCAAACAAGTGCTTAACTATGATGACTTAAAAGTACTTGTTGAAAGTCATTTGACATAGGGTTTAATTGGATGGGGAGATATATTTGACGTACATTTAGAAAATTTAAATAAAATCCAAAAAAGAAATTTTAAGATTATGCTGGGTGAGGAAATAACCTACCCTTTCGATGTAACTTTTAGGGACACCAATATATTAAACATAAGAAAATTATTCTGTTTAGTTTTATACCAAACACAATATAAATTGAAAAACAGTTCACTTATGTTAGAACATCAGTATCATACTCGCCGTAACGATAAGTACCTTTTGCCAAATATGCTAAAGGTAATCGGCCAAAGATCTTCTTCATACTTGGCTCCAAAAGCATTTAATTTTGTTCCAAAATCAATACAGAATATTTTAAATTATAATTCATTCAAGGTGCAATTAAAACATTTTTTGATTAAAACACCAGAAATTTTCATTAATAATTTAATAAATAATTCCAGCTAGGACTAAAATAGGTTTAATTAATTATATTTGTCTAAAACATGTAGTGATTTGTTTTATTTTACTGTCGTTTTATTATTATTGTTATTGATATTTAGCTAATAGTTTGTTACTTGTTGGCTAATAATTTATTGGGTTTTTAATTTAAAGTCCCCAGACAAGTTTATAACTTAAGGGGTTATTTTATTATTTAATTACTAAAAATTATATTTTTATTGTTTTAATGTATTTCACCTTGTAAAATGGTAATTAAATAAAATATTATTATTATTTAATAGAAAAGTTGTTTCTGACTTAATTTACAAAAACTTTTGTTTAAACAATTAATGCATAGGAACAATCGTTCGTTCTTAGGGACACAATAACGTTCGAGGAGTCGCTTTGCGAGCGGGTGCTTATTCCAGGAAAATATATTTTCCTATATATACCTGTATATATCTTTGTAAATTATTACAGTGTATCGTGTTAAATTATGTTACTCGATGGTTCCATTTTATTCCCCCCATTAACATTCTGCAAACTTTTCTTTTTCTCAGAAGATTTTTCTAAATATAACTCTGCCACTGAAGACAACCTGGAATTAGTTATTATTTAGAATAAAAATACAATAATATTGTTTTGCTTCCATCCTACTAGTTGTTTCAACGAAATTACGCAGACCTTTGGCGAAAGCAAGGCCCTGTAAACTCTTTTGGGTTCGCTAGTTTAAGAAATTCAACAACGATAGACGGCAGTTTACCAAAATGTTGTAAAATTCGCTGGTAATACGTTGAGTAAACAATGGTTCATAACTTTATAAAACAGCCATGTCATTTAAAAAAAATAAAATGAACTTATAAGTAAGAAGAAAGGAGAAGGTATAGGTACTCGCTTGCTCCAGTACCTCCGGAAAAGAAGATTCAGCTGGCTAAATCTCGAAAGGAAAAGGCCATTACGCAGTTGAAAAAGAACATTCGCTGGTCGTAGTCAAACATATTTCTGGTATAATACTTCCATGGGATTAACAGCTATCAGTTTTGTTAACATGAGTTTGTAAAACTTTAACATAATTGTTTGTAGAAAACCAGGGATTGTAATAATTTTGCCAAAGGAAAATATTTTACCGAAACTTTTGTAAAGGCACAATCCACACAACAAGGTCTGTTCTATCTCGATAAAATGCGAACGAAAATCAGGACTGTTATGCGCACCACGTCAGATATTAATGGCAACCATCTTTGATTTATTTGCCGCTGTTAATTTAAAAATAAAAAGTTGTTTAAAGTTTTAATGTAAACGCAAATGTTTGTTTTAAACAAAAGATTTGACAAAAATATGTTAATTTTGGAATTTAATTCATAAATTATTAAAGATATATTTATAAAAAGGTATTTTGAGCAAGTAAATATAGGTAGTTGTTTCAAGTTTTAACGTAAACAGAAATAAACACAAGTACACTATTATTACTTGTGTAAATTAAACATTATTTTACAATATGGTAATCAATAATTTTTTTAATAATTAATAATAATTATTACAACTTTTAATACATTTTCTTCAAAATTGATTATTGGCAATATTAAAATCTATAAATAAAATTATCAATGATGAAAGTATTTTAGCAAGTAAAAATGGATGTACCCGACCATAGTCGATGATTTTTTTAGAAATTAAAAGTTAAGATAGTAATATAAATCAAATTAATTTAATTAAGACAAATACATAATACTAGTTAGTTGAGTACTGCAAATTCATAATTTTTAGTAAATTAATTTTTGAAAGTACGGAAATTATTAAGATGAAGGTAGGATTTCTAGTAAGTATGTATATAAATAAAACAAAAAAATATAATATATATTTTTAATAAAAAATAATCAAAATAAATATTAATAAACTTAAACATAAATAGTATTTTTAAATACACTTAAATTTTTGCATAATTTAACAAAATAAATATATTTCTTATAAAATAATACAATTTAGCATATTTAAATTGATAAAAGAATACCAAAACATACTGCAGTATAATGTTACCATGGTAACATTTAATCCCTAATTAGGGTTAACTAGTCAACTACTAACACAAAATTTAATAAAAAACGTTTTAATAACAATACGTTCTAATACCAATTTTATATAAAATAGAATATTTAAAACTTAATTTTTACTACTCTATAGAGTTTCCACCTTTTTCTATGGTTTCCACTGGTTAAAAGGTATTGAATTGTATCACAGCTTTGGTAAAACTGATTAATTATTTATTAGTACTGTGTATCCAGTGTTATATTATGTTTCAAGAATATGAAAAAATGATTCCTTAGTCATAACATCATCATATTTATAATACACTGGTTGCTTCCAACGGTGAATTAATCCTCGTGCCATAACTGTCAGACATGTTTTGTGTGGCCCAACCTTAAAAAATACATTATATAAATTTTTGTTTTAATATAGAATATTTACTTACCACTTGCTCCTTTTTTTTGTCAATATCAATTTGGGGTGACAAATGTACATCATCAAATCCAAAGACAGCTAGTCACTGAATGTCATTCAGTGAGTCTTTTTATATACTCATTGCTTGGAGTACTGGAGATAAAATTCCTTCTTCAAAAATAATATCTGAAATCCACTTTCGCATTGTTGATGGAGCAGGAAGAGGTAGATTTCGTACTTTTCGCCAATATTTAAAAATAACATTCATATTATTATGTTTTTTATTCCAAATAATTTATATTACCTTTTGGCAAAAGTTGCTTCATTTCGTAGATCTACAACCATTTCTAATGTTTCGGATCTGTAAATTTCATAGTTGGAAAATTATTCACTCAACAATAATATAATATTACCTTTCAGGCAAATGCAAAGTTGGAACAGCTTTCTCAGTAAGGCCTCGGTAGGCTTTAGGTGGTGACAAACCATACAAAACTTTGTGTGGATGCCTTACCAAATATTTTGGCTCAAAATGTGTAGCACAAATTCGATCTAAATAAATAATATACATTAATAATTATGTTTTACACACATTGTAGTGGAACTTACGAGACTTTGGTTTTTCCATATTAACCATTGAATTATCAGTAGCCTCAATCCATTCTTTGGCTTTTAAAGAGTTTTTGGGCAATGTGTAAAATTTTAACTCTTCGTTGTTTTTGCTGTTGTTCTTACAACTTTTTACCATGCAGTACGCCACTAAATAAATAAAATTATGTAGATAGAAAACTGACTACCTTAGTTTTACTTACTGGTTAAACAATATTTATTTCAAAATAGGCACTAATTAGTGTTTATAAACAAGTATACTAGTACAGTCAACAGCCAATGACAAAATCAACACAAACAGGAGCGCACTCAACTGATTCACAGTGTGAATTTCACACTGGTAACGTCAATAAAACCAAACAGGAACACACAGGAGCAAACTCAACTTATGTCAATAAAATCCAATAAACTAACAACGTTTAAAACGAATATTAATCTGTATAAACAGAGCACAAATCAAAAGCATAAAAATTGTAAACAACAAAAATGGCCGCCTTTAATATCTTTGCAGAGGGTTGCCTAACTTTGTGATTTTTAGTATGCGCGAAACGAGATAGAACAGACCTTGTTGTGTGGATTGTGTGTAAAGGTAATATTCAATTTTGTAAACATTTTGTTAATTTCAAAGATTACAGATTATTTTGTTAATTTTTAACAAATTGTTGAAAAAGTACACGTGATTTCAGGCAGTCAATTAAAACATTTCCCACTGACAATACGCATCAACAAGTTTAACTGACTTCAACGTCTGCAACTTATGTTTCTGCTTACTTTATTCTAATTCGTAACGTGTTCGTGACAACTATCGAGAGTGTTTGTAATATATTACCAGAAATCTATTATTATTGTTATTCGGATTCCTTATACCTATTAAACGAGTGTGTTAAGTATCTGAAAAAAGATGCCATTACTGGTGTTCAAACTGAAATTAGGGGATACAGTAAAGGATAAGGATAAGTAAGTGTTGTAGTAGTACTGATAATTACATTGTATCAATTTTCTTTATAATTTTATGATTTTAGAATGGTGTGTTATTTAATTGTGTGTATGTTATTTTTGTGTTTATTTATGTAGGTATGTGTTAATTTTTTTGTTGAGGAAATTGAGTAATAAAGCAACATTTCTTATGAAAATTCTTTTTATTTGGGTTCCCATTTTCCAACAAATGGTTTGTAAAAATAAGGTCCTTTTTGAAAATTACAAGAATTATGGTTCAATTATTGATATATCCTATATATACAATTTTAAAATCGTAACAATTGTTATTAAATCTACAAAATGTTTGTTATAATTACAAACTACTTATTCAATTAGTTAACAGATTACAGTTGGTTGTAAACTTAACATAAAGTTATGTGAACAAGGAATCCTTGTTCACATAACTTTATGTTAAGTTTACAACCTTGTCAAGGATTAACATAAAATCTGATTAATAATTGGTTAAAATTACCAAATATAACAGCCACTATTAAATAAGGATTATTTTATTTTATTCACAGTGTGGTAAAAAAATACTATTTGCATTCAGTGCCCGTATTTTACATTTTAGTATGTTTTTAACGATTTCTAATATTAAGCTTTTATTAACGACAGCTGATGTTTCTCAAAACATTTTATGGGTTTCTTGTGCATAAAAACCACATAAAAAATGCATACCCACAGCACTAGAAACAACATTCAGTTCATAACCTTTATTAGACGGTACCGAACGAAATCGAATGTGCACGCACAAACGTCAAATAAAATTGAATTTATAGTTTTGATTGGTAGGTAGATATGCGGGTCCCATCCTGAACGCTTTATTAGTATCAATATGAATAAATAAATAAACATTGTGTATTGGTTTGTAAATTAGTGTGCGTTTGCATGCGGAATTTGACGCGTGCGGGGCCGGCTGCATGCATACAGCTACCCCCACAAACACCACGTTTAATGTGTTTAATTGGCTAACCGGCGATGTTTTTGCGAAAACCGCTTTTCTGCGAATACGATACCATGGGGGTAACGCGTATCGACACGTTTTATCGGGGACGGGTTTAATTTATAGAGTTAATTGGGGAGTGATTGGATCTTTGCCTATTGTGAAATTCTTTAGATTTATAGGTTCAAACAAATATGATTCTTATTAAGGGTTGCGAAATTAGAATTGCAATAAGTGAACCCAATACATTGAGGAATTCCCTTTCAAAATCAATTTTCATCTGCGATTTCAGCAAAACTTTGATATTGTATGATTGTCAATAGTTGATAGTAGTATTTTTTAGAACTTTGTAAAAATAGATATTTATGCCTGGAATTATCCAGAGCCTACTCGTTCTTGGGGCCCCAACCCCAACAAAGGGTCTTCAGGGCTTCGGATCTAGTAAAAGGGGAACTTTTGGGGCAGGGGTTTTTCGATCAAGTTTTTAAAGTGACCACAAGGGACACGGCCGAAGTGATGGTGCTGAAAGAACTGTTCAGGGTGGATGAGGAAGCTCAGTTCAGAACTTATTAAAAGAGTTAAGAAAAAAAGCCGAACATTTTAAGATTTGTTTCCGGACCTATTGCGTAGTAGGTATATAAAAAAAAAATAATGAACTGAACTTTAAAAAAAGAAAGTTCCATATCCAACTTAATAATCTAATAACAATTTGACTAACAAAAACGAACTAAAAGAACTAATCTTTAAAAAAAGAATAAGTTCCATCTCCAACATAAACAAAATTTAGCCTAAAGAACCTTTCTTTAAAAATGGATCAAACAATCTATAAAAATCAATAAACCAATCAAAGCACGGCATTCTCCACAGCACCTAGTGTGTCTGTTTCCGTCTACATTTCTTTTTCTGTATCTTGTATCTGTTTCTGTTTCTGTTTCTGTTTCTGTTTCTGTTTCTGTATCATTGTATCTGTTTCCGTATCACTGTTTCGATCTCTGTTTATCGTATATGTTTCCGTTTCTGTTCTCCCTGTCTGTTTCTGTTTTCGTTTCCGTTTCTGTTTCTACACTGCTGTGGAGAACGCCGTGCTATGATTGGTTTAATACTTTCTATAGAGATAATTTTCTATAGAAAGTAAACCCTAAAATTTTCAGGATAGTTTTCGGACCTACATCCCCATAAACTTTTTATTGCATAGACTATAAAAATGAACTGAAATAACTGATCTTTAAAAAAGAATAAGTTCCATCTTCAACTTTAAGAATCTAATAACAATTTGACTTACGACCCCTAACAAAAACGAAGTTATTTAAAGTCACTTGAATTTGATAATACAGATGATGATCCTTGTGTTTACTATAACAAAGACGGAAATTTGATGCAAAATCTAATCCAATGGAAAAAGGAATGATGACAGATGAGCAAAATCACATAAATGATATTTTACTTGAAAAGTCTGAACCACATTGTGAACCTATAGGAAGTTTATTATCCTGCAATTATAACTTAGTCTTCTATTCATACTTAAAAAATATTGTGTTGCTGTAATAAAATAAAGAGTAAAAATTATAAATACATTAACATCAATCACCAACATAAACAAGAATCTAATAACAATTTGACTTACGACCCCTAACAAAAACGAACTTAAAGAACTAATTTTTAAATATAGAATAAGTTCCATCTCCAACTTTAAACAAGATTTGACTTGGCAAAAAGAATCTAAAAAAGTTTTGACCTACGTTCCCTAGAACAACGATGTAAAGGAACTAATCTTTAAATAAAGAATAAGTTCCATCTCCAGCTTAAACAAGATTTGACCTGACAAAAAGAATCTAAAAAGGTTTTGACCTACGTTTCCTACAAAAACGAACTTTAAATAAGAATAAGTTTCATCTCCTACTTTAAACATAATTTTGACCCACGTTCCCTACAAAGACGAAGTAAAAGAACTAATCTTTAAATAAAGAATAAGTTTTATCTCAAAATTTAAACAAGACTTCAACTGAGAAAAAGAATCTAAAAAAGATTTGACCTACGTTCCCTACAAAAACGATGTAAAAGAACTAATCTTTAAATAAAGAATAAGTTCCATCTCCAGCCTAAACAAGATTTGCTTTTTTTCACTAAAATAACTAATCTTTAAAAAAGAATAAGTTCCATCTCCAACTTAAAGAATTTAATAACAATTTGACTTACGACCCCTAACAAAAACGAAGTAAAAGAACTAATCTTTAAATAAAGAATAAGTTCCATCTCCAACTTTAAACAAGATTTGACCTGACAAAAAAAAATCTAAAAAAGTTTTGACCTACGTTCCCTACAAAAGCGATGTAATGGACTCATTTAATAAATATTGTGTTCCTGTAATTAAAATAAAGAATATAAATTATAAATACATCAACATCAATCACTAACATAAACAAGAATCTAAAAACAATTTGACTTACGACTCCTAACATAAACGAAGTAAAAAAACTAATCTTTAAATAAAGAATAAGTTCCATCTCCAACTTTAAACAAGATTTGACCTGACAAAAAGAACCTGAAAAAGTTTTGACTTACGACCCCTAACAAAAACAAACTTAAAGAACTAATATTTAAATAAAGAATAAGTTCCATCTCCAACTTTAAACAAGATATGACCTGAAAAAAAGAATCTAAAAAAGTTTTGACCCACGTTTCCTACAAAAACAAACTAAAAGAAATTAACTTCCATCTCCTACCTTAAAGAAAATTTTGACCCACGTTCCCTACAAACACGAAGTAAAAGAACTAATCTTTAAATAAAGAATAAGTTCCATCTCCAACTGTAAACAAGATTTGACCTGACAAAAATAATCTAAAACAGTTTTGACTTACGTTTCCTACAAAAACGATGTAAAGGAACTTTAAAAAAGAATAAGTTCCATCTACAACTTAAAGAATTTAATAACAATTTGACTTATGACCCCTAACATAAACGAAGTAAAAGAACTAATCTTTAAATAAAGAATAAGTTCCAGCTCCAACTTTAAACAATATTTGACCTGACAAAAAGAATCTGAAAAAGTTTTGACTTACGATCCCTAACAAAAACGAACTTAAAAACTAATATTTAAATAAAGAATAAGTTCCATCTCCACCTTTAAACAAGATTTGACCTGACAAAAAGAATCTAAAAAAGTTTTGACCTACGTTTCCTACAAAAACGAACTAAAAGAACTTAACTTTAAATAAGAATAAGTTCCAGTATTTTAAAAAAAGAATAAGTTTCATCTCCAACTTAAAGAATTTAATAATAATTTGACTTACGACCCCGAACATAAACGAAGTAAAAGAACTAATCTTTAAATAAAGAATAAGTTCCATCTACAACTTTAAACAAGATTTGACCTAACAAAAAAAAATCTAAAAAAGTTTTGACCTACGTTTCCTACAAAAACGAACTAAAAGAACTTAACTTTAAATAAGAATAAGTTCCATCTCCTACTTTTAACAAAATTTTGACCCACGTTCCCTACAAACACGAAGTAAAAGAACTAATCTTTAAATAAAGAATAAGTTCCATCTCCAACTGTAAACAAGATTTGACCTGAAAAAAAGAATCTAAAACAGTTTTGACTTACGTTCCCTACAAAAACGATGTAAAGGAACTAATCTTTAAACAAAGAATAAGTTCCATCTCCAACTTAAAGAATTTTATAACAATTTGACTTATGACCCCTAACATAAACGAAGTAAAAGAACTAATCTTTAAATAAAGAATTATTTCCATCTCCAACTTTAAACAAGATTTGATCTGACAAAAAGAACCTGAAAAAGTTTTGACTTACGACCCCTAACAAAAACGAACTTAAAGAACTAATCTTTAAATAAAGAATAAGTTCCATCTCCAACTTTAAACAAGATTTGATCTGACAAAAAGAACCTGAAAAAGTTTTGACTTACGACCCCTAACAAAAACGAACTTAAAGAATTAATCTTTAAATAAAGAATAGGTTCCATCTTCTACTAAACAAGATGTGACCTGAAAAAAAGAATCTAAAAAAGTTTTGAGCGACGTTTCCTACAAAAACAAACTAAAAAAACTTAACTTTAAATAAGAATAAGTTCCATCTCCTACTTTTAATAAAATTTTGACCCACGTTCCCTACAAACAGGAAGTAAAAGAACTAATCTTTAAATAAAGAATAAGTTCCTTCTCCAACTTTAAACAAGATTTGACCTGAGAAAAAAAATCTAAAAAAGTTTTGACCTATGTTCCCTACAAAAACGATGTAAATGAACTAATCTTTAAATAAAAATACATTCCATCCCCAACTTAAAGAATTTAATATCAATTTGACTTACGACCCCTAACATAAACGAAGTAAAAGAACTAATCTTTAAATAAAGAATAAGTTTCATCTCCAATTTTAAACAAGATTTGACCTGACAAAAAGAATCTGAAAAAGTTTTGACTTATGACCCCTAACAAAAACGAACTTAAAGAACTAATCTTTAAATAAAGAAAAAGTTCCATCTCCAACTTTAAACAAGATATGACCTGAAAAAAAGAATCTAAAAAAGTTTTGACCTACGTTTCCTACAAAAACAAACTAAAATAACTTAACTTTAAATAAGAATAAGTTCCATCTCCTACTTTAAACAAAATTTTGACTCACGTTCCCTACAAACACGAAGTAAAAGAACTAATCTTTTAATAAAGAATAAGTTCCATCTCCAACTTTAAACAAGACTTGAACTGACAAAAAGAATCTAAAAAAATTTTGACCTACGTTCCCTACAAAAACGATGTAAAAGAACTAATCTTTAAATAAAGAATAAGTTCCATCTCCAGCTTAAACAAGATTTGCTTTTTTTCACTAAAATAACTAATCTTAAAAAAAATAAGTTTCATCTCCAACTTATGACCCCTAACAAAAACGAAGTAAAATAACTAATCTTTAAATAAAGAATAAGTTCCATCTCCAGCTTAAACAAGATTTGCTTTTTACACTAAAATAACTGATCTTTAAAAAAAGAATAAGTTTCATCTCCAACTTAAAGAATTTAATAATAATTTGACTTATGACCCCTAACATAAACCATGTAAAAGAACTAATCTTTAAATAAAGAATAAGTTCCATCTCCAACTTTAAACAAGATTTGACCTGACAAGAAGAATCTTAAAAAGTTTTGACTTACGACCCCTAACAAAAACGAAATAAAGAAGTAATCTTTAAATAAAGAATAAGTTCCATCTTCAACTTTAAACAAGATTTGACCTGACAAAAAGAATCTAAAAAAGTTTTGACCTAGGTTCCCTACAAAAACGATGTAAAGGAACTAATCTTTAAACAAAGAATAAGTTCCATCTCCAGCTTAAACAAGATTTGCTTTTTTTCACTAAAATAACTGATCTTTAAAAAAAGATTAAGTTCTATCTCCAACTTAAAGAATTAAATAACAATCTGACTTACGACCCCTAGCATAAAAGAAGTAAAAGAACTAATCTTTAAATAAAGAATAAGTTCCATCTCCAACTTTAAACAAGATTTGACCTGACAAAAAGAATCTTAAAAAGTTTTGACCTACGTTTCCTACAAAAACGA